AGCAAGGGGCTAGCTGAAAGTAGCAGGAGGCTAGTTGAAAGTAGCAAAAGTCTATCAACCGTCTCTGGAATGAGCTGAACTTCTTGACTAATAAAACAGCTGAAACGGCACAAAGAGTTTAGCTGCTGTGGAGCGTTTTAGCCACAGAACCGGCCAACACAAAGTGATTTTTAATCAATAACTACTCAGATCAGGATTTCAGGTCCGGTCTGAAACCTGGACTCAGTTCTCTGATTGGACCCGGTTCCATCCCAACCACAGATCCTGGGTCAGTTTTTCCTGCTTCACGCTGGTGTTTAGTGATATTTATTGTTTGATTAATAATATTTAAATTATGTGATTGATTTATTAGTTTGGATGAAAATTTTAAAAAAGCAAACCTGATTAAATTTAGCTGATTATTACTTTCAAAATAAAATTCTGTCAGACAGATTTTATTTTGAAAGTTTACTTGTAAAGTTCCTCTGAACTTTTTCTCACTTGTTGTTTTGTGTTCAGGAACCGAGGCGCCGCCGTCACAAACAGACGACACTGAAGAGGGCTCCTCCTCCTTGACGGCAGAACTACGGGCCTGGGACCAGAACATTAACGGACCATCCAAGCGGTTCGGGTCCCACAGTGCGCCGGTGTCTCCGGGCCCTCCAGGGACCACAGGAAGCAGCTCTTCAGACTCCATGTTGGATGTGGCCCCGGAGTTCGACAGCGACGCTCCGTCTGCGGCCCACATGAGGAGGCACTTCCTGCTCGGGTCTGGAGGAAGTCCAGCCTCTCTGCCCGGTACCTCTGATCCAAAACAAGGCTTGTCCCTGATTGTCCCGATCCACTACGACTCAGAGCTGGATCCCGGCTCTTCGTGGTCCAACCAGGGTCTGCCCAGCATGGTGCCGGTCCCTCTTCGGCCCTTTATAAAACCGGACCAACCACCGGCGCTCCTGGCCCTCGGCGGATCCAGCCTGAACCCTCTGGACCTCAACAAGTTCTGCAGGGACCGGCGCTTCGTCTGCCCCATATGCAATAAATGCTTCTTATCGTCGCGGAGCCTGGAGACGCACGTGCGCGTCCACACCGGCGAGCGACCGTACAGCTGCGCTCAGTGCGGGAAACGCTTCACGCAGTCGGGTCACCTGAAGACGCACCAGAGCGTCCACACGGGGGAGCGACCGTTCGCCTGCGAGCACTGTGGGAAACGCTTTGCCGCCAAGCAGAACCTGAGGATCCATCAGCAGAAGTACCACACAGCTGGATGGACCGCCGCTCCGGTTTAACTCAGGAGGACCGGAACACTGACAGACTCAAACGGACCTGTGGTCCTGAGAGGCGCCGAGCCTCAAACTGAATTTATTTATTTTTTCAAGACTTAAAAAAAAAGGTTGTTCGTTCACAAACTGCTGTAAGCAAAAGAGGTCCTGGTCCTGGTCCAGGTCCAGTTCTTCCACTTGAAGAAAGTTTTTCAGGTTTCATTCAGTTTTTAAAATAAAAAAAAAAAACAGTCCGAGGTTTCACTGGTTGGTTCGAGATTGTTTGTTGATCTCGTGTCGTCATTTCTCTTTAAACAGTTTCCTACACCGTGGTGTGTGTGTGTGTGTCCTTGTTTATGCTACTTTGTAAGGCCCATTTTTCCAACTTATACTACATTGTGAGGACCAACTGCTCCTTATGGGGCCCAAAGCCCGGGCCCCATAAGGAGCAGTACTGTTGGTGGGTTAGGGGTTAGGTTTAGGGTAAAGGTCAGGGTTAGGCTATAGAATTTAATGAAAAATGAATGGAAGTCAATGCAATGACCCAACAAAGATAGCAAAACAAACCTGTGTGTGTGCGTGGTGTTTCAGTTTCCAGCTTTCAAAGTCACTTTATTGTCAAAAATCAGATCATTAAATTGATTTTAACAGACATAAAAATAAAAAGTTAAAATCTCAGTTTGAGGTTTTTTTTAATAAGAAAATTGAACGATTCTCAGATCTGAAGTAAAAACATTTTATCAAAAGTTTTTTTCTTGGTTCATGAAAGAGTTGTGATGGTTTACGGCTTTCATTTTGGTTTGACTCATAAAAACCTTCATCCAACCAGAAAGGACTTTTTGTTGCAGGTGGAGGTTCTGATGGGCCCGTTTGTCTTTGTCTCACAGCCGCCGACAGAACTAAATCATTTTACTGCTTTTGTGTTAAAACATTTCTGAAGGCTTCAAGCGTCCAGTTTTATGAAGACAAACATCGTTTTAATGGATAAAAACTTGTGATGGAGACGTGGACTGAGCTCAGAACTAAAGAAACAGGAACATCCAGATTGTAGAAAACGAGTCCAAAAGCCCGGTTCTGTGATGGTTCTGGTTTGGGTCGGTGTTTGAGTGAAATGCTCAGCCACCTGGACAAACATTAACGGTCAGACGAGACAAAAACAGACTTAACTGGACCCAATAGCAAGGAAACATCACTGGTAAGCACGGTGGTGGTAGCATCATGCTCTGGTTCTGACATGGTCTGAGATCAGGGTCCCCTCAGGACCGCACCCTTTTCACCAAAACCACGTAGAACCAGGTTCAGAACAAAGTAACAAACATCCATTGCACAAAAATAATGAAAAAACTTCAAACAAAACAAAAACTGCATCAGTTTTAGTTTTTAAAATTTTCTAGTTTTTTTAATTATCTTTGTAATTAAAAAATTAACTATTCTCGTAATTAAAATATTTATATTTGAGAATTTAATCATTTATTTTTAAACTGTCATTTAGGATTACCAGTAGTTTATTATTTTGCATCAGTTTGATTTTTGTTTAGATATTTGTATCAAAATTGATCAGTTTGTTAATAAATTGTATAAAAACATTTTTTTAATTATTTAATTTAGTTTAAAATTTTAATTTAGTTGTCATGATGAATATCAAATTGTTTTTTTAAAGAGTTTAGATTTTATTAAGTTTTTTATTAAATGTTATAACTGAACGCTCAGATCAATTTTTTTTAGTTTATTTCATGAGTTTAATGTGTTTTAGTATAGTTTTAAACATTAAATTAAAGTTTAATCAAGCTGCTACGCGTTTTATTAGTGTCTTATTTTGAAATGTCACCGTCAGGAAGTGACGTAAATCCCATGACCCTCGTGTAGTTCTGGAACGTTTGCCGTTTGTAGTCCAAACTCAGCGGTTTGTTGCTAACTAACTAACTAACTAACTTGTTCCAGAGGCCGCCGCGGGCGCGTGTCGACTCTTCGCGGGAGTTCGGGTTCGGTTCCGGTTCTGCTGGAGCGGCGGGATGTCCGTTTTAAACGAGTCTCTGCGCGAGCAGCTGTCCATCATCATGGCCGCCCTCACCAAGGCGGCGGTGGCGGAGATCTGCGAGGTGGTGGACGAGGGCTACGCGGTGCTGCAGCTGGAGGTGCAGCGGAGCCACCAGGAGAACCGGGACCTGCGGAAGAAGCTGCTCCTCATCGAGTCCATCGTGGTCCGGAGCGGCGGCCAGAGCGCCCAGGAGACGGCGGGGGCCAAGGAGGCGCAGAGGCCGCAAACCCCGCAGCTGCAGCCGGACACGGAGCGAGGCGAAGCCGCTGCCTCCTCCGGAGGAGCTGCGGCGGAGGAGCCGGAGGAGGTGAACCTCAGGCGGCCATGATGGATCCTGGCCCCCGTTAGGCCCGGAGGCTTGAGCCAGGATCATATTCAGTCCATTTGGGACGAAATTAAATTATTATTAATTATTGTTAGTTATTATTATTAATAATAATAAATTAATGTTAATTGTATTAGAAACAGCTAGAGAATCAGAGAGCTGTGACCACTCTTGCGACCCCAAATGCTTAAAATACAGACAGCGTTAATTTGTAAAATGGTTTGATATCTTAAAATAAGTTAAATGTGTTTTGAAGCCAGGCGTTAATGGGTGAAGAGAAGTTTATTTATATCCTAAATTAATAAGTTTTAGGAAGTTATAACATATATCCTGATGTTATAATATATAGATGCAGCGTTATAATATATAGATGCTGCGTTATAATATATAGATGCAGCGTTATAATATATAGATGCTGCGTTATAATATATAGATGCTGCATTATAATATATAGATGCAGCATTATAATATATAGATGCTGC